TCAAAAAAGAAGAAGAAATTAGCGGTTTTCGAGAAATATAAAGTACTATGTAATGATAATAAATACAATGATTAGCTATAACTTATTAGGTATAACTATTTTACAAAAAAAATTTTTTTTCTTCAATTTTTTAATTATAATATAATTGTGTTCATATGTACATATGTACATATTATACAAGTATACAACAATGTTATATACTTATACCTAATAATAAAAGTTTGATAACCGGAGGATAATCATTAGTCGATATTTAAATACTTAAATTTTAAACAGTTAGATATACTTAGTTCATATAAGATAAATTATATAGAGTATCCCAACGGAATTCCATCTGTACGAACAAAAGCGAATAAACCTCTACTTGACCGAAACTCTCTGTGAAACAAAACCCAGATCAAAACAAGAAATTCCAAAAATTTTAAGAGTTTAACCAATTTAATCGACAAATTATTATTAAATTAATAATGTAATGTATAATAATTGTAAATGATGTAATACATATTGTAGTAATTAAGACATTTTCAGTGACCTCTGCTGACAAGTTGTATTTAAGATCAATAAAAAAAAATTTTAAAAAATTATAGAGTATAGGTTAGAATATAAATTATTATATTATAATATTTACGGAATAAATGAACCTTTCAAAATATATTTGTCCCGAATAGGTAGCATTAATTTATTAATAAGTATAAATAGTAATAATTTGAAAGTATTCAACTTAGTTATAAATGTATATAGGTATCTTAATATCTTAAATACCATATGCAACACCTGTCTCTTAATTATTAGTTATTACTTTTTACTTATAACTTATTACACAATATTATATATTGAGTATTCGCTTTGCCTTACACGAGATGCTCATGTATACATATACAAAAATTGTTTTGATAGAACTATCGAAGATTTATATGAACAAACATTTAAAAAAACAAATAAACTTAAAGTTTTTTTTCAAAGTTTTTTTAAAATGATTTTTTTTTAGCTGTTGTGCATTTCCAAAGTACTGCAGTTATGCATATTTCTGGATTAAATTACAACAAAATTGATTTTGATGTAAACGGGAGTTAAAATGTCAACTGTATCTGTTCAAGGAATAATATTCGATTTTTCAATCGTTTTATTTGCCTCAACGAACAATTTCTTAAATAATTAAAAATATCATATACACATTAGTCATATACCATTTTTTATACATTGTCATTTACTCATAATATGTATATGAAATTAAATAAATTAAATAAATACACACATTGATTTCAGAAAACAATTTACTTTGGTTATAGAATTGCAAATTATCATGAGCAATAATACCGAAAGAAGATTTTATACCCAAGTTATAAATATTTTATTTGACTGCGAAATAAAATAACATAATTACCTACATGGCTACGTCTAATTTTGACGTATTGCAATCGAATTTCGTAACTCTAATTATACGTATGTGGTTTAGTTTAGTAGCTGCTGTATTAAAGACTAAAAACCGTGTACCTCACTATATAATAAGGATTATCTGAAAATGGTATATACTTCGCAATGGTACATGCTATTAACGATTTGTAGGTTAACGACATTTTTGATTTGCACAGCATATTATCATAGATTTCTATTTTGTTTTGCTATGTATAATCAAAAACTTAATACAACCTATTAAACGGTTAAATACATTTCATAAACATTTAAAGCATGGTCACTTGTTTTTAATATTTATTATAAAGCTACCAGGCCACCAGGGCCAAACTGCCAAACTATTTAATATTTAATCTACCTATTCTTCGTTCAGCACAATGATTATTTATCCCCCTATATATGCAGTCTGATTATTGTATTTCAAACTTAAATTTAATTTAAACACATTTTACTGTGCATAAATCTTCATTATACCACTAACAATAACAGGATCAATTTTTTAAGCTTTTAAATCCATGAACAAACTCGCATAAAAAAAAGTTAAAATAGACCTTTTGGGTTCTTCCAGGAGATACATTCGGATCTCGATTTGGACATACATTCTATTTGCGTGCGTCCTTCAGGATTCAATGATTTATACCTATATAGTTAAATCTATTTAATCTTCTTTTGACATAAATATATTGGTGTTCTTGCATTATAATGTAGTAGATGTCATTTTTTTGTGAGTGTCCTTGGTGTTCAAAACTATAATCGATAAGATTTTATCGGATGGTTTTTTTTTTAGGACGCTCGATTGTTCAAATTAATATTGATTTATTTCTCAATAGTTATTGTTTAAGTCGTGATAACGTTATTCTCTGTTGTATACTACAATCATAATGATAATTAATTATTGATAGAGTATATAGGTATTAGTTATTGTGTCATATAGTCGCTTAGAAAGGTTTTTGAAAACAAAAACTAATCTCCTATGTGTTTCGTAAATAAAGAACAAGATGTCGAACGGTGCTCGTAATTTTAACAGGCAGTTAACAATAATTTACCGGAAAGTTTATTCGCTAAATTATTTTCAAACAAAATTTATTCATTTCAAATTTTAACTTGGCATTTATGACATCAAATAATTTTGCAGTTAGGCCGACAGTTAATTTGAAGGCTTGAAACCCTAAATTATTCAACTTTTTTAGTAAAAATGCAAGAATTTTATGTAATTAACTTGGTACTTATTCAAGTTACACCTTTTTTTAAATAAAATAAACTGAAAGGTATGCATGAAAATTAAATTAAAACGCCTTGAATTAAATACTTACGAAATTCAAACGGAATTAAATTAATTCAAAAAATAAATCCTTAGTGTAACGAAAAAAAGAAGATTCACAGCGATCACTGATTATAATATTGTGTTAGTTTAAGATCTTAAAAGTATTAATCAAGATTCAAGATCGTTCATCGTGACACTTTTACAAATACATTTATTCTTTAAAGATAAATTATGAGATATGAGTATCTGTGTGGGAATTTTACCATTCATTATTAATTAAAAATGATTCAAATCGAGTTTCAAATATTCAACATAATATTTATAAAGCATAAATTTTCAAGACTATGTATTTATTGATGTTTATTACAAACAAACTAACAAGACGTGGCAAACAAAAGAGACAAACAAATTCGAAAAACTTTAAGTAAAACTGATTTATTTTACATGTCAATGTGTTATTAAATTATTTTTAATTGATTTTAAACTTATGCATCATACAAAATAAAGTACCAAGTATTCGTGCACTAACAAACATTATAAAAAATATTATGCATAAATGTTCATTTTAATTTATAGAAAATATTTTTTTATTATGATGCATAAGAATGTATATACATTGGTTGGAGGGTTCGTGTATTTTATGTTGATAATTGTTCAGAATTATCACAAACACACTCATATAAAAATATTAATAACAGGGCAATTATAAGTAGTATAAGTGTCGGCGGTCGGCCATCGAATTTATATAGGCAGTGTAGCAATAATAGAATATAATATTTCAGATTACGTATACGAAGCATAAAGGTTGTATATTACCTATTAAAATAATTATTATGTACGGATAACATGCAATTTGATTAAACATTTAATTGTTATCTAGATAAAATAACTATTTTACGAGTTATTCAAATAGTGGGGAAAAGATGAAAACAGAATAGATGTTGGGTACTAGTCTCACACGCTCACTCCACTCAACTCATTAAATTTATTTTTGTTTTTTATACCTAAATTATTATTAGGTAATGATTTCTATATTTTGAGAGCTTGTCATAAATATAAATTTTAACGAATATAAAAATATAATATTCACTAGTTTTTAAATATGGTAATGAATAATGATTAATAGGCATAAATAAATCAGAGTAACGTTGTATAATCTCAAATCGTAATTCCGAATTATAAAAAAATGTTGTAATTTTTTCTCAATGCCTACAATAATACTAAAACCTACCCGATAAATCAGGTATTTAAATGAAACACATAGCAAAATAAAAACAATACAATATGCAATGCTCTCATCACAAACAAGAAAGTATACTTAAATAATCTAATAACACGGTTGAAAAACATTTCTTCTATTAATTAACCTAACTATTGTATTAATTATGTATGGAAACAAGAGACCTTAATTCAAAGTCTGAACTTCACACTATTTATAAAATGAATAGACAATGTAATAACTAAAATATTAAAACTTGATATTATATTATATTACATATTTATATTTTCTACATAAGACAAACTATTATTTGATAGTTAAATATTATTATTTAGGCTATTATACCCCGCTTATTGTTATATTCTTAATACTTTACATGAAAAAATAATTTCTAACCACGTATTGTACAAATAACTTTTATTTTTGAAGATACAAAGATAAGATCAGACAATAAAACTCATTAAAACGCGTATGAAAAACTATATAGTCAAATATAAGGCCCAAAAGTCAATTTCATTGGCTATAAAAATGTTATTGCCGATTTACAATAATAAAAACAAATAGACATCACTAAACTGTAAAAATAAACAACCGTAATACCGTTATTGCTTGAATATTTTAAATTAGCCAATCACATAAGCGACCTGTTTTATTTACATTAAGTAATGACTGTTTGTCATACAATATTACATCAACATAAAGTGACAAGAAAAATAAACTTCGATTCGAAATCAAAACAGTTCATGATTTATTGAAAATTAATGTGTTAATTTATGAGCGTTGAATGTTAATACTCAATATTATTATATAATAAATCAAAATATACCTTCCAGAATATTACTTTTTCATACTTATCTATGTCTACAATTATCTATAAGACTATATCAGAAGTTTTTTTTCTTACTGAATGATGAGCAAATAATACAATAATAATATGTGTATTATTATACATGTTAGAGCAGTTGTGAAGTATAAACATTCGTATAGATCACAATAATACATGCATTATGAGTAAAACGTTACCTATATTTTATAATTATTGAGCTCGACAATATCTTCAAATCTCTTTTCTATTTTTATGATGTTATTTTTTTAAGGACTTACTCATTTATTGTGTAATTGCTTTTTTGGATATTATTTTCCAAAATGTACTTTAAAACGAATTTTCACTGTTTGAATTAAATCAATTTTGATTCTCACTTAGGTTCGATGAATTGCATTTTCTAAAAAAAATTAAACGTGTGAATTATGTCATAAATTATAATGTCATGATGCAATCATACAGATAATTTTACTAGGAGGACCTGTTTATACATTTAACTATACATTTGTAAATATTTATGTTTGTACCTATTAAAGAACAATATTAGAGAACAATATTTAAGTAATTGTATTTTGTATATGACATCGAATGCAAATAACGAACCATCAATCCAATGTATTTTAGTATACTTTGTGGAAACGAAAATTGAAATTGCCTTTAAAGTAAGTTACAAATTACATTATGAGCCTAAAGTTAAGTATCCTTTGTATGGAAATAATAACTGTCTTAAATAATGATTTTTATATACAATTATAAATTATTGGAAAATAATGAATTTTATTTCTTTTGTTTTTACAGTTAAAAAAGTAATAAAAAAATCTTTGCAATAAAATGTACCATTCAATCATACTATATTATTTTATCAGAATAATAAACATTATAGTTATTACTCATTACTCATTACATTATTCATTAGGTATTATATCATCTCGTACTTTAATAATTTAAATTCCATGCTCACATAATTCTGCATTGTAGAATAATGCAATTACGATTTACTTTAACATAAATAAGATAACATTTTAGGTAGGTACATATAAAATACTGATAATAATTATTATCAGTTTTTAACCATCAACTACAATCTATAAACTACTATACAGTTATGTTATAATACTTTCTATTACATATTTTATAGTTATTGAATTGTATAATTTTTCCAGTAGGAAAATTATTGTCAGTAAAATTGCCAATTGGGCCTCTTAATCATTATAATCATGATAATGGATAAATAATTACAGAAATTATTAGATAAACAATTTCTACTTTGACATACATTTCATCAATGTCATAATTATACTTAAAAATACATATAGACATTTTTTAATTGTATGTCATACAATGTTGCTCCGGATTCTTTAGAATTTACGTAGACTATAAGACTAATATAAATTGAATATAATATTTTCGTTTTTGTTGTGTTATTATTAAATTTACTCGTTTTTAGGTAAATATTAAATCATATTGATTAAATACTATAATTTAATAGCCATTCACTGTTTTTGCGGTCTTCAAAGGTAATAAAGACGGTAAAGACGATGGATGAATGATATGCTGCAATATTTTTAGTATACATAATATGTATATAATAGGTAATATATGTACTCTGGCTGAGTTCAAAGATATTCCTGTATTTAAATGGTATATAACATTTCCACAGGATAAAAACCGTTATTATTTGTAGAGTCTTGAAAGTTTGATTCCATTGTGAAAATATTGTAACGGTCCTAGAGTTTTAGTTACACGAATTTCACATACTAACCTAATACCCGACACATACTAATAAGTAACAACAATATTATAATTTATAACGCTAATACAAAAAATATATATCAGCATATCCCTCCCAGACTCTAATAATATGAGTATGAGTAGATATATCTACACACTACGCGGCAGTGTGCCTACAGCATTGCGATGACACATAATACGTCCTCAGTCCAGTATTAAGTTAGGTAGTTGTAAGACTCATACAAATATAAGCTCATATGACCATAAAATATTATATTAATGTACTATGTATATTATTGCTTATTTATGGCAGTGGCAGTCGTCTTTATTGTCGTGATCATCAGTATAATAAGCTGCAGAAATATACACGCGGTGAATAATGACCGAAATCCTTCTGTCGATACGCAACTGATCGTTATGATAATAAATAGGTTCATTAATATTTTATTATATTATATTTTGCAACGACGTTCGGTCGATCGACTTCGAAGTCGCAATCCGTTGCGGATTTGAAACTAGGACGAATCGCGAGAGAACTATCGAGCATGTGCATTGTGCACGTTCGGATTCAAATAAGTCACAATATAAGCGTTGTCTGCCACCTGGCCATTATTATAATATTATTATAGCTGTAGCTGTCACCTAAATAACGTGTCTGCAGTAGTTATGTACATATAGTCACCGCAACAGCCGTACCGTGAAAACTAGAATATTATCGTGACACATAAGACCGAGTAATATAGCAATAGAACGCTCGTAGTTTACCCATACGCGAGATCTACTGCAAAATAATTTAATGTATAATAATTAATATTACGTACGAAACGACGATACACAGACCCGCGGTAAAAGAGAAAGATAGAAACATACAGACAGACACGGAGGAAGAGAGAGATAGAAAGAGACTGAGAAACGGACACCCGACACCAGAGAGAAAGAGAGCTATAGCGTTGCTCAAATATATAATATTATACGCGTTTTGCAAACACTGTCTTACACGGTGAAAGGATGCGCAGGCGCGCAGTAGTATACGGCGGCCGAAGTACACGTGATAAAGTTTAATACTCAAACATAATTCGATATTTAGCAAGTGGCTATATTGTCGGCAATTCACTAGATCGTATTATAACACCGATAGGTATTATTATATATCGACGAGAACGCCGCGGCTGGCGCAGGAGATAGTTGATCGGACGACGAAATCTCTGTAATAATATGTATACGACGGTTATTGTGTGTACGCTTCGTCCGATATACCTATACAGTGTCCGCTGCACCGCTCGTCGTCGTCGCGTAGTGGGACACTGGAGCTCTGCTGTGATGCGGCCGCCGTGGCGGCGCAAGGTCGAATAGCGGCCGGTGGCGTCGGAACGGCAAGCCGCGGAGAGCCGCAAAACCACTACTACTACATTATGTATTATGTTATGTATCCGACAGCAGCGGCGATTGCCATGTCCTCTTATACACATTATAATAATATATAATATCGTAGACGCGCGCGGAATCCGCGGTCACAGGCTGTGCGCCGGGTCCACGCCGCAGTCCGCCGAGCGCCGTCGACTACTCCGGGTGCGAGCAAACGAACCGACGCGTATAGCAGGGGGAAAAAAATGACGTTCCGATCGCCGGTAAGTTTGGGCAACCGCCAGCGACAGGGCCAGGCGCCACCAGCACCACGCCGTCAGCGCAAGACTCTACCGCAATAACGATACATAAATCATAACGTCCGCGTCTCCCGTTTTATATTGTATTATTTGTCATCGTAATAATAATAAAATTCAATCTCCTCTTCGATACTATATACCCATATTGTATTAATCGACCGATCTACGTATTATTTTACTGACAGTCCGCATAATATTTCGATCGTTACTAACGTGTTCCCGAGATGCATTACTACATGCTGGCCGCGTTGCTCAACGCGGCCCTAGCGACCGGTCAACGGCACGCGGTGTTTGCCGGCCGCCGACTGCAGCAGTGGCGGCAGACCGGCGACCGGCCAAACTACCTGCAAATGTTGGCCGGCGGCGGCGTGTTGCCCCGCAGGGTGTGGACGGGACAGGTCGACGGCCAACAGCGCACGACCAGTAGCAGGCGACGACGCTTCCCGACGGCCAACGCGAACCCGGTGATGGGCCACTGGAGGGCCCTGCACGACAAGCTAGACGTGCAGTCCATGTGGCCAGGGACGGCCAAGTACGCGAACGAGATGTACTTGCCGGCCACAACGGTAAGTTATATAACTGCAGCACGATGCACTAGGAAAAATCATTATACGTTCGATTTTATTCGCGAAATATGATGACAAGAAAAAATATCTACTCGTAATAACATGTTCAGCTAAATTTAAACCTTAGTTTTTTTATGATTCTTAAAACGGGAATGAAAAGTTAAAAGAATAAAAGATATTATGTTAGGTTATAATGTTTGGCCCAACGATTTATTAGACATATAAGATTTCGACATAAATTTCGTCCAAATGGAAAATGATATGTACCTATATAAATAAAGAAAAACCATTTGTGATTTTGGGACATTTTCCCAAACGAAAACCACCGACTGTATTAATACAGTAAATAAATATCCCATGCACGCAATGGTATTCTTGATGAATTTTTTTTAAGTTTTTGAAGAAAAACTTGTTTTTATTATATGGTTAGTATTTATATGCATGTAATATATATATATATAATCTATACATACAAAAATGATTGTGTGCTTGCATTCGGTATAATCTCGGAAACAACAAAAGTTATCGAAGCCATAGTTACTTTTAGTACATTAGGTGCCACCAAAAAATGTCTGGGACCAATTTTTGGACTGTACAAAGTTTGACGGGTCAGCTAGTTATTGACTTATTGTATACAACTCGAGGAGACCCTCTGACGAGACATATCCTATATATTTATTCTCCACATAATCTAAAACACCTAACATTTTGTTAAACTCATAGTTTTAACTATTAGTTATTACTTATTAGTTATTAGTTATTACGTATAACAAATGTTTTTATATCAGTATTCGAAGTTTAATATTTATATATCTATTATATGTGGTGTTAATGTATCGCCGGCAAAGCCGGCAGCCAGAATACTAGGTAAAGTTTAATTAATAGTCTTACTCAATAAAAATGTAAAAGTATAATCGTATTCGTGGGCTATTCAACTAAAAACTATAGTATTTTATATATTAAACTTTTATTAAAAACGACCCAGCAGTTTTTGAGTCTATATAGAATAAACAAACAAACAAACATTAATTTATTTAAACCATAGAAAGATTATAAATATATAAAACGAATTTAATGCACATTTTGATATTTTGTGGTGCACAGCACTATAGTTAAATATGAATATATTTCAATGTTTTTATTATTATATTTGATTGGGTGCAATAAATTCTAATCTATTCAAGATTTTTAAGATGGTGACAAAACGGTTTTAGGCCCCATTTGGATCTTAGCCATACATTATCTAAATAGGAATATGCGTCTAAGCGTGTGTTTACAAAACATTACGAATTAATAACACAAAAATAATCATTTTTCTTGGAATTTATTCTATAATTTACTATGTTGAGAAATTTAGATACGTAAAAAATATTTTTTCGAAGCATTATCATAACGCTATGAAATGTATAAGACAAAATCAATAAAGTTTGGAACGAGACTGTTTAAATATACACAAATATAATATAATATAATATAATTCAAGGTCAAAAGTATGACTACAATTTTATTTCACACTGATTTATTCGATTTTTTCGGTTCATTAAATTACATAAATGTATCCATGCTCTAATTAGGGCCACCTAAATCTCAGAGTGAACAACACTAAAACAGAGTGAACAAGGGCAAATATTATGAATATAAGTTAAGAATTTTCTAAAGATAATTAATTTAAATTACATTCAATTAATTAAAATAACCTAGCAAATAAATATAAATATAAACAAACTGGTTTTTAAATTGTCATCTTAAAAAAAACATATTTTCTAAAAATAATGTATAATCTATATACTACCGTAACATTACTAATTTGATAATTGAATAAATTTATTATATTTGCAAAACACGACATATTTTTAATTGTAAAATTTTCTTAAAATAAAGCGTACCTATTGATACAAAGTTCAATACACAGTACTACTGTACAAGCATATTATACTGAATATAGCCCACACATGTTATAACAATGTAAATAACAAAACATTATCATTTTGATTTGACCATTCTGAGAAATCGTAATGATACTGCATTGACATCTATTAAATGTGTATACAGTTATTATAGGTACTGCTAATCTCCGTAGATAATATTATATTACCTATACAAAATAAACTTTGTAATAACACAAGGTATACCTATAGATGAATTCTTGACTAGTATTTTTATGTTTAAGATCAAAATCAGCATACTATCATGCCAGTCACCTAAATAATTAATACCAATAAACTACTTCTAAGTATGACAGTTTCAACGTTACAAGTTACAACGAATACTGAATAGCCTAAAATGCCTTAAATGCTAAAACGTCACAAAAAGATTCGTTTCTCGTACCAATACTCAATAGTACGAAAATCACTCATAAAGTTATAACAGCTGATATGCGGTGTATGTATTATAATAAAACATTAGAAAGATTATTAATATACTATAAACATTGATGAATTAGAACTATTTTTTTTTTTTGAGGGGGGAGGTGTCAAATCTAAAAGCTTGATGATCTTAGCTGAATAAAAAAAAAGATATTCATAAAAAATTATGTTTGTTGGTTTTAATCCCGTCCCCCTGGTTCATTCATAACTAGAAGCGACTTTTACAAGGTACGAATCGTGAATTTGCAATAATTTATATCCAATTAAACAATTCGTCTCTTAGATACAACAGGTTACAGTAACAATCGAATAATGTGTCATTATCATTAAAATAGTATACAGTAAGTGGGTATACCTAGTGAAATGGTACCTATACGGCTATACAGGAACGATGACTATTAAGACTAACCACCTGCAGCTAACAACGAAATGAAACCGAGATGGGCAATCACCTTCGGAGGATTGTAATAACTAATAAGTAACTTTATTTTCTGTAACGTGCAGCAACCAACTATTGTAAGTAAAATAAACGAATAATATGTGGTTATGAATTTAATATTTTTAACAGCGGGTAAGCCCTTAAAATAACTGGTTCAATTTATTATCCAAACCTTCCTTGAATCGTCAAAATCAGTCTAGTATTTTTTTAGTACATAATCCTCAACCACTCACATTGATTCCTATATTATAATAGCTGTTACTCAAATTTACATTTATATAGAATAGCTATTACTAATTAGAATAAATGACAAAATATAGTTTACTACCGAAAATTACATCTAATCAAATTAACAACTTAATAATCTGTAATGAGCCGAAACAAAATGCTTGTTTGAGCCACTCTATAGTGTATACGAGTACCACGAGTTGACAAAAAAAGCTGAAAACCTCCCCCCCCGGTATCAAAAAATATACTGATATGGACGATTATGAGCTCTACCCCTGAAGGCTGAAAGATACATGTAAACTCTCCAGGGTTTCTAAGAACTTAATTTGTATTATTATTGTACTATTATATAGAATATAGTATGAACATGCAAATTTTAAAAAATTCATGTATATGAATTATAAAACTTAATAAAAAAATTATAATTCCTGCAGATAAACATAATGTTGAATCGGGATTCGAGAGAGGTTACCTCTGCCCATCGACATAACTTTTATTGAAAACGATCCAGTAGTTTTTTAGTCTATAAAAGACGAACCAAGAAACACTCATTTCTATACATAGGTTAGGTTAGGTTAGGTTAATAATATTATATATATAGACAGATCGTCGACAGACGCTCACCTCTCCGGGCGAAACGGGACTATTAAGGTATGGGTCACGTGCGGAACTGACACGGAAATCGACAAGTACAATCGTTTCGAACTCCGCCGCCGGACTTCGGCTGCAGGAAAGGACCCGTTTAAAAGACACTGAAAACTGAACTCAGACGACAGCTGCTGTTATAGTTTTCGCCAAAGACGCTTGTGCGAAAGCGCACGACGGTGGCTGGGCCGAGCAACCAGTTTCCCCGCGGTCGAGGGATCACCGTTCAAATCGAGCGTACTTTAACAACGCGAGTGTCGCAAGCGTCCGTGGTCATCGGCGTGGCGTTTCGATACAACTAGATTTATTTTATTGTTGACTATACGGCCTACGGTATTTTAATGTTATTATCATAATCGTTATAATTATTATTATCATTATCATTATTTTGACATCGAAAATAAATAATGATTATAAAGCTATATTAAATTACGGATAGTATAATACACCTATTAATAGATACACTGTGCGGAGGTGGTTATATAATAACGCTGTTATTGTTATATTATTGTTATTATTATAGCTTATCTGTATAATTTACGGACAATGATATATTGTCATACTATTATCTATAATATAACACGCACGTATTTAATAGTTTTTGTTGTTAAGCACGGTCCGCGAGTACTTATCGTTATCGAGTGGCATAGTTTTGCTAATCGATGATAAATAATAAATTATGTCGTCACTTTGATATCATTAGGTATCTATACGACTATACATCAAGAGCAGCTCTGAAGTCCATATTTCTAAAAAATTGTATACTGATAAAAACCAAATTACTGGAGAAAAATATAATAATATCAAGTTTTCTGAAAATTATGACTTAGCCACACCCCTCCCCCAACCATGTCTCTGGGTAATCATGATCTACATGGGCAGAGATTTAAAAGAATTTTATAGAGACTAGGTTAGGTTAGGTATTATATTATAATATAGGAAATTAATAACATCATAAAAAATTGTATTATTTTAATTTGGGTGAGCCTTTGATTATTATAGGGGGCAAAACAAAAGTTAATTTTAACTAATTTTTACATTTTATTATTGAGTAACTAGTAAATCACACACAATCTGCAGGGTGATCTGTGATCTTTTATTCCACCCTCGGCTTTTGTTGCCTAGTTAAACCGTTACCGTCAACTTTTGATTTTTGAAAGGAAATCTGCAGCTACTACATTAATTATTTGTCTGTTCTAGTTATGAAATTGAAAATATAGGTAAGTACATATATAATAATATTTTATAGGTTGGTTCTAATACATCAAAAGTCGATGTACTGGTTTGATCTTCCGCTGCAAGGATTAGGATTGAAAAAACGAAATCAATAGGACATATTGTACGTCAGGAACTCACATAACTCACATAATTCCGAAAGTTCGAGATACTTGGGTGGGTAAACTAAAACTCTGGACGGGTTCCATTCCAACTGTGATAACAGAAACAGCGTTACTTGAATAAGCCCAGTGAAAATAATACGTTTACTAAGTACCCATAATATCTTTTAATATATATTCAATATTCATATACACACAACAGATTAACCGAAAATGTGTTAACGAAAAATATGTACCTATTATTGTAAAAACGGTACAGAATTAAAGCAGTTAAGTCCCTAAATGATTTAAAACTTATAAAATGTGCATTAAAAATGTGTATTGACTAAACCCTATTTTTTATATACAAATTAGCAAAAAATATTAATTATTGTCGAAACGAGATTGGATTCCGACGCCATAGTTGCACGATAATATGCCATTATTTGGACGGAACCGTCTGCCGCACGAATTAAGATATACTGAATACTACTGTACTATGGAACGGAAGGTAATAAATTCAATTTCTAAAATGTGAGACACTACTTAACGCTACTTAAGCCCTACTGCACCCCTATGTGTGTAAATTTTAATTCATGTACTTATTCATAATATGTTTTTTTAAATATGTATCTACAAATTCTAATGTTTTAAAATCAAAGTTGTAATAATAAATAATAATATTTAATTCACTAATCAAAGTTATTAATTTTTATAATCATGTTTCCAGTGGTGTAAATTTGATGGAGCAAATGTGGGCATGTAACACTTTCACCACCACATTTCAAATGGCTACCAGAAAATCATAAAAACGTATAATATACCTATTATAGATTCTTTTAGTTTTAAAAGTTTATATTTTTTCATCAAACAAGTTTTTATAAAATTATAATTATCGAGCAAGGGTTTTTTTTGTTCTAATTATTAGGTACGACTATAGAATCAATTTTCAGGTGGGAATTTCCGAAGGAAGTTGGAGTATCTAAGGGTTTAAAATTAAAATATTTCTCTGCAGCAACAGAATTTGAGGCCAATTTATGTCACTTTATGGTTTCAAATAAACTAGCTAATATAGTTAGTAGTTAGTAGGGTTAGTGACTTAGTGTTATTGACACACAGCTGACGTCTTAGCAATTTTCAGTTTTCAGTTCAATTTTTTTTACATGATAGCCTGCCTCCTTCTGCATCCAGTTTATCGTAATTCGTGGTCTGTAGTTAAGTCCCGGCTGATTTATAACTCATAAAACATTGATTAAAACTAAAGTAGATTAAACCCTATCGAATGACAGTTTAAAAGGTGTCAAAATATTATGAACATTTTATGGGGTACAGAAAATGCTAGTATAAACGTCCAGTGAAATGTATGTACATACGGTTAGTTACTGAAGTTTAAAATCAAACTCATTTTCGAAACGTTATTTCGACTACTTATCAGTTTACTTAAAAGCAAACATCACTGTAGAATTAATATATTCATCGGCGCTGCTAATATTCTAAACAGCGCCATAGTAAAAAGTATACATTAATCGCTCAACTTAATCCAAAATGAAAAACTGTCAAAATAGCAGCTGTTCAACAATAACATATAATTTTAAATAATATTGTCTTACCTTTATGAAAGTTGTAGTGAGAGTCAGTTGTTGATCAATATAGAAATATAGACACACAAATTATTATTGTTCAAGCACAGAAAAAAAAGTATGAGATAGATAATATTATATATATAGAGAAAATCGTATAAAAAGTAAGCACAGGCAATTATCTATCATGAAGCACGAAAGTCAAATAAAAATATTGAACATATTATAATACATAGCCAATAAGTGGCAATAACTGAGACCTGATTAAATGCTCGTATTTTCTGGGGATAGGTTTTTATAGATTTTCCTATCGATGAATATATATGCATAATAATGAAGTGATAAAAATATGATTGATAATTTTATATTTATTAAATAAAATCTCTTAGATAAAATTGTTATGTAACGTGGATGGATTGATAATATTATATCTACAGACCGCCCCCGCCCAATAGACAATATTACAATAATGCCCTACTTCCCGTTTTGGAATCCTGTCCTGTTTCGGTAATAATGAATATTTTTTACTAATTTTGGTATCAGCCGATAGGGATTAATCTATATTCATTTTTAAAGTATTTTATAAGTTTTAAATTATTTGAGACTCAACTGCAGATCGCCCGGTCCGATGCTTGGATCATAGCCGGGTGACTATGTTGCTATAATTCTGTACCGTTTTTACAATAATAGGTACATATTTTTTACTAAATTTGGTACACATCATTAGGGGTTAATGAATTCTATTTAATTTAAATTATGTACCAAATAATATATTTAATAATAATATAACAGTTTTAATACAATTAAATATATTTATTATGTTATGGGTACACGGATAACAATATTTTCGCCCGGCTTGTTCGGGCCGCACTGTTTTTCTTATCACTATTCACCGCAACGTTTGAAGTAGGACGGTCTCGGGTTTTAGACGTTTTAGTATTACTCAGAAAATTCAATACTTTTTGAAAAAATTAAATAATAATGGTAATGATAGTGTCCAGTGTTCATTTAAGAATAACTTAGTAGACTAAAATGTTTGCAAAATAAAATTGAAATTTGAAGTTCAGTCGTACAGTGTAATTTGTTTATAATAACCAATAAGAAAACTTGATGTTTTGAAAAAATTCGGTTGAACTCTACAACTCTAGCTGTTATGTTTTGGTAATCTATACTGACATGTTTTTTATTTGCAATCGTTTTCGTTTGAGGTTCTAAATATAACTATTTACCCACATAGTTTATTTACGTATACCATCTACGAGTATAATATTATGTCATGTCGTCGTGTGACTAACGACTTCTTCTTAACACTTTAAAATACTTGTTATTGTTTAGTGATTATATTATTTTTAACTTTATTCTTAGAGTTTAGACACATATATAGTATGCAAGATAAATCAAATTGAAAATTACATTTACATAGGAAAAGGAAAAAAAAGAAGTATTTCTTGTTTTCGGCTAGTCGAATCTTTTTTTTTTTTGTAATATTTACAAAACAATCCAGTTCATATTTTGTACACATAAACCAGTTTATTCAATTGCAATACCAACCGGTTAATAGTTAGATTACACGTTAGTACGTTATATACTTATTAATTATTGTTACCACGTGTAGGTACTCGTAGTATATTGCTCTCGAGATTTCTAGAGAAATTAAATATATAAAATAATTATTTGTTTTACTGATTTCCTCGATTTAAGAGAAAAATCGATACATATATGCGTGTTTATAGATCAAGTGTCGTCCGAGTCTGTAAAGACCCGTTGCAAAGACAATTCTCTCGTTTCAATTGTGCAGCATCATGGTGGAATATAAAAGGCGGTAAAAATGTGGAAATGATATTTTTTTTACATTTTTACAAATTTAACTTGTCAACCGCCGAGGGATGTGATATTTTTACTTTTATAGTTTTACAGTACATACTGCAAAGGTAAACTGTCCATAAAAAAATAATGCGATGCCTGCATATGTGATATACATAGCCGAGCCAGGTGGATTTAGGGTATAATTCTGTGGGGGTTAGTGCTTTGTAAACAAAAAACTGCTGTTAAAGATTTTATTAAATATCAAATGAAGAGGTTGATAGTCTGTCATCCTGATACCTAAGCTCGAAATTCAAAAGCTTATAAAAAAAATGTGACTTTATAGTTTATAATCGATATTAAAAGAAGTTAAGAATCTCAATTATCTATTAATATCAAAAAAGAGCAAGATATTTTTTAAAATTTTAAATGTTCAGAAAATGCTAACACATTACATATGATACATATCAGTTGAAAATATCAAGTTACTACAGTCTACACGATAATTGGTTTTAAAATTAAAACAAAAATAAGATAGATTTAGTCAAAAGCTGATTTTAAGTAAAATATATTCTCATTTTTGTACCGTTTCTTAATTCTAATTTCTTTTTTTTTTTTGACAAGCGATAGCAAATTTCTACATTTGATGTCTCAAATTACAAACTTAATACAATTGTTTACCAAAATCCTCCCTCGGAGTTATAAACCAAAACATTTTTCTCTAAAATATAAATTTTTTTCAGACACAAAAAAAATCATGATTAAAAACACACATCGTATTAGTTTTAATACATTCATTGCTTAAATTCAATTTAATTAATTGAATTGTATATTTTAATTTATAATCTATGCGCTACATCCCGATACACGACAATATCACTTACTCTTGTGTCTTCAGCAATTCGTCTCGGCGTCATTGCCGCAGGCCATCGCAGGCCAAGTACATGACGTGTTTTGTCATTGTTTTACGCGCGTGCTCGCTTGATTATCTGATTATCTGATTAGTGATATTTTTTTATTTTTTTTCCAATAAATTAAACAATTATAATTACGGTAAAAATTATATATTTTTTCTTTCTCAAACGCGTACGTCTCGAACCTTACAGTATTACTATATAATGCGTACTACTGCGTAATACCTAATTAACTACGGATATATTGTACACATATAGCTGGTAGCTAAGCGTCGTATACTCGTATATATACACTACTCGTACGTAAAAAATGTTTATGTGCCAACGATATCATTATACTGGTCATTACCACCCGGCGACCTTGACACGGTGTGACAGTCTCCTGCAGCTTTGAGGTAAACGCGCATAATAATATTAATAATATATCATCATTATTGTACGATATATACATAATATGTACCTACGTAATAATATACGTGCGTTGTCGATATTATCGTCCGCGGACGTGAACCGTGTGCGCATATATTAAAATGCACGTAACCTATACACGATATACGCTCTTATAGGTACCCTGCAAGTATATTGTATACGCACGTGCTTGGGCACTTGGTTCAAAATTATCCGGTGACAAGACCTCATAAAGTCGCATAACCATCGTCTCGTATATTCTCATATATAGGTACCTTGGTAAAGACTCATCTTAAATCCGAGTCCTATATGTATATAAATCACTCGTGGAACGCCCAGAGATTAGTATTTTAATAGCAGACTCTCTGCTCTCGCGGACTTTCTCGTATGTATTGCATGTATAAATGATGATAGCCCTTTTATAAGCGCAATAGCCAATAGGTATGCGTTTATATGCATATGTATGTGTACTTAAAATGTATATTTATGTGTATGTACCTATATGTATACGCACGTGCCTGGACACTTTGTTTGAAATTATCCGGTGACGCGACCCTATTGAGTCGCATTCAACCATCACCGTCTCATATTCTCATAAACCTTTAGTGAAGACTCTTAAAGCACACTTCTATACGTATAAATCACTCGTGGAACGCCCACAAATTAACATAGAGACTACTTTGCGTGGTCTTTCGTGTGTATTGCACTATTAGAAATAGTGATAACCCTTCGCAATAGGTATGCGTTTATAAACTATTGTGTATGATAGGTATATATGTATAAATACACTGCGGTCGTGATTTTTTTTTATCATTATTTTTTCCGTGAGAAACAGTCGTATGTTATAAACATGAAATATACTGTGGTTTTTCGCACGCTTATTGCGACATAAACAGACTGAGCGTGGAACGAAAATAATTATCAAATATATACCTACATAATAATATAGGTACCTAATACCCAAATATACAATTTAACGGCATGCCCGTGGTCGGTTATATACCCTATAGGTTCGTATATAAATAATGACAAAAGTAAAATAATATGGTAGTTAACTTCGTTGTACATGATTAAAAACAAAAAAAGGTTATTTTTGGTACACGCATCATCGCGATTAGGTACGTTTAATCACAACGAAGGCAGTCATTAAAAAAAATTATGTTAAGTACCCATAAAACTGACGATTTCATTGGTATCCATGAGAGCATATCCTATAGATAAATATGCATTTGATATATTCGTATACGTTTATTGCTGCAAAAGTTAGTGTAAAGTTTGTATAAAATATTAATATATTAATATATATTCAATACTCCACAGAATATATTATATTATCCGAAATATGAATTTTTAGCAAAGCTGTTGGTTGCGGGAACAAAATATAGTAATCTCACTGTAAGAATTTGATTTTTAACATTCATATACTATACTCAATGCGTATTATATTCCACTTTTTAAATGGAAATCAAACCAAAGAGTATTCCTTTAAAATGCTCATAATTGATATTTTTTCAGGTTAGTTTTTCAGAAAAATACAAGAACGCCCATAAATCTATAAAATCGGTAGTGCATAATGTATAATATAACATACAATATATTGTGCATAATTTTACCTATATTTTTAAAGCGTATATAATATTTATGAGCAAACATAAATAGGTATAACATCGCATGACAGCCGAAAACGGACATCTCGTAGGTATGCACAATATTAATTTGTATATTAAAATAGTGCAGTTCATAGGTTCACTGCTATACAGCATATAATTATTATTCATACCACTGTCGTTAAATAACGATTTAACCGAAGTTAAAACGTTATGTTATGTTATACGCGATCGGCTACCTACCATTAGGTTTATTTTTAGGTAGCATGTTATAGGTAACAAAAAACGAATATCGTGTAGACTGTAGACAGACAGACGAGGTACCGCACTTGCATTATTAATATTAATATTTATGTTTATTGTAACCGATACAGCTGACAAACGGGGTCACGGATAAGTGCGACGGCGAATGATCGGCGAACTCTCTGCTGCGACCGTTCTCAGAGCTCGCGAGATTCGAGACCGGACGTATTGTACATGACACATTACACATAATAATATAATATTATATAATATATGTATAATCTTCGTCATCATCTCAACTTCCTATTTCCAATTTGCTTAAAATATTCGACAATCTGTAAACAATAAACGATATCGATGAGAAAAACTCAACGACACGGAAGACGGAAATAGGTACGAGACCGCAAAATAAAATATTATTAGGTACCTACTAGTTTGCTACAATGTTTATTGTAGACTGTAATGCATATAAGTATATAACCATAGATCTTTGGACCAATTTCTTTTAAATCGATTGTGGATATTTATTGTGGCGATGTAAGAAGTGTATCTATAAAAAAAAAATAGTTGGTGATTGTATATCGACGCCGGAATTATTTATAACGAATGTCTGCAAACAGTCATCGACTGTTGGTGATTTTAGACCACCACACTTAACTCGTTTGTTTGTTTATTTTAAAATTTAACTTCATGTTTAAATAATATTTACATTTCATTAACATTTACGAGTACATAAGCATAGCTTGTGTCGAGACTCGATAGGTAGGGACTAGGGAAGCCTATGTTATAATAATTATATTTATCTACTATACATTTTACTCAAGAATTTGGATTTATAGCTGTAAATATAATCATGCTAAACACTGAACAGTAATAATTATAACAACAATCACATCGGTAATAACAATAATAATAATTATGAGACATTAATCATTTGATCGAATATAACAAATATTTATCATTAATTTAAATTTACTAATATTATCAATCAATTTAATACCTGATGGTTATTGATTCAATAATTGTTTACTCTATTTCTATAATCATATCTCACGCCTATGCTGTAATAGGTTGGATTAATATTAGATTACCACTATTCACTATATATTTTAGGTGCATTATTATGGAATTAAAATTATTAATTCTTTTTTTTCGTATGCTATGGAAGGCAGTATTTGCATAGATGACACTAGACATTTTATTAGGGCAGACCAAATGATAAATATGAAAATAAATTCTAATTACAAAGTAAGACGGTATTTTAGTTTTTCAATTAGTATTTTATTCAGTCGGTATTAGGCCGACGGGCCTGACTATTAGTTTTGTCTATATGAGTATTTTTCATGCATTACGATAGGTAGTCGATAGCTGATAGATACCTATCAGTACCTTTAATACCTGTTAAGGCCATATTATGAAAGGCTTATATTAGTCGGGCGTTCGTGGGTTCTATAACGTAGATGCATGCAGATCATCAGGTGGGATTCGTTGATTATTTAGCATTAATTCAGCGTGAAGTAGGTACCTATATTTATAGGTATTCCATTTTAAGATGCTAGTTTAGTCGATTTCGTTCTTGTTGGTTACGATCTTATAGACCAAATACATAAGTATACTTTTTGACTATACTTTTCGACGAGATATCTCGTCCTAGCAGATATTATTTGACCAATTGCGGGTGTAATGAGATTAAATATATGTATAATGTACATTGTTAATTATCTCCGTAATTATTTACTGCCGTGTCACGATATGAGGCCATAC